AAAAAAAAAAAAAAAAAAAGAAACTTTTGAAAAAGGATCAGGGATTTAGCTCATTGCAAAAGCCCTGGGTTCAATTTCAGTGCCCACCGCCACAAAAAAATGCTTTTAATAAATTGTCTTTGAGAAGTTTAAAAACCTAAACATTCACATGGGGTCTTGTGGTTGGGGAATGGGAGTCGTATACCAGTTAATTGTCTCAGTGTATTGATGCACTTTAAGACAACAGAAAAAAAATGGATTTTGCTCAACAACACCGTTCTAAGCTGTGACCGCTGTTGCCCAAAAGGCATCCAAAGCAGAAAGTGTCTGTGATGGACAAGCTGGTCAGAAGACGTCAGAGACCCAGGGAAAAGGCAGCAAGAAAAAGCACCTGGAGAGCCCCAGGCTAGGACTCGCCTTTAGAAAACTCTTTAGACATCAGGTTTGTATCGCATTTGACTAGGAGGGAAGGAACCCTGGTCTTCACCGAGCTGTGCACAGTCCTTGCCCATCCAGCTCTGCTTCTGTGCAGACGGAGCCCGCGCTGGTGATCAGTGCAGGAAACTAAAGATGGCAGGACGCACACTCTGGTGAATTGGCTTAAGTGCCGGTGGTTATAACCATGTCAGACCGGCTTCTTCCGGGTGTGGACCAGGGTTCCGAAGTCACTCTGACTGAGTGTTTCCCAAGGGTTAGTCATCTGCATGCTGCTTCACCGTCTGTGTTACACATGCTGTAATCGCTTGATGCTTTTCTGCTGAAATTGGCCATTTTCTATTTCAGTGTGTCTTGAAGAGAAACTTACATTTCACCATACAGAGAAAGCCAGACTCACTCCCTGTCAGGGGAAGAGAACCATTTAATACGGCAAATGAAAAGTGTGACACTCTCACCACCGTATTTGAGCACTGACTTCATCTTTTTTAAACTTTATTTAAATCTTTGTTTTTTTAAAAAATTGGCCAATGGTGTGGCAATATTAAAGTCATCAGCATCAAACTGAGCCTTTCCCTGGGACGTTGTTACACAGATGATAGAGGAGTTGGAAAAGGAAAAATATTTTCATGATTCTAATGTTATTTAATATTGAATTTCTGCGCTACCTGAAACCATTTCAGGTCCAGCAGTGGCATGCTACCTACACTTTGGGAAATACTCTTCTAGCCCCAAGATAACAATTTTACCTTTCTGTGGTCTGCTCCTTCCATTCCTAGTACTAACTAAGCTTATGCTGAACCCACATAAAATCTAGGCAGAAGGGGGAAAAATGAAGGCAGAGCAAGTTCTCCATGTCATGAGGAAGTTAGGACATAATGAAGTCACCTTTGGAGATGCCACTCTTCTAATATCCAGGAGGACACTAGTGATATATGAAACCATCCATTAACATAATTTTCCAGTTGGGTCTGCATGCTTGGAAATTTGTTTGAAAGGTCACCCGTTCTCCGCCAAGTTGAATGAACTTATTAACAAACTTTCCCAGCGGGATAGCCAGTCTTACGATAATGTACCAATAAAAGTTCCGTAGGAAGTGCTCACAGGTGAATGTGGGTTTACACAAGCAGGGTCACGAAGCCATCCTTCAGTCTCCACGCAGGCTGACTGTTCTCTAATGAGAGAAAGAAGGGATGATAGATAAGGCCAGTGAGAGAGGAAACATTAAAAAGTAGCACAGCCACTATGGTCGGTGAGAAACAGGTTCGTAACCGCTCCGGAGATAGGTCACAGACGCCGGCAGAGGAATCCAGTTTAGCTCCCACTGGGAGCTGTGAGCAAGAGGCCTTGAAAGTTTAAAAGTGTGGTGCACCCACTGCCCCGCGCTGGCCCCAGATCAGCGTTTCACTGGGACACGCATTGGGTGCACTACAGAATCTCACATCTGCAGTGACTCTAAGTGGACCACCCACGCCCACTGTCATTATTCCCAGAATTTCCACAATCTTTGTCCTCATTTTCTGCCACCAAAGTGTATTTGGGGGAAGGGTAGGATTCTGGACTCCTAGGAAGAGGTAGAAATGGCACCCTAGCCTGGAAGACACACGTCCTTACAGTCTTACCTTGAGTTATATATAGCATACAGGTTTTTTGTTTTGTTTTGTTTTAGTAGTGATGTAAATTAAAATATTTCTGAACTCTCTTATGCAACACCTCAGCACAGCTCATTGGTTTTTGTCTTTGTACTTAGGACAGTTTATTTCTTTTTGCCTTTTGATTATTCTTTTGTCCTCAAAGAGAGGAAAATGGGTCATTAAAAGGATGGAGCAGATTCTGTCAGTGCTCATCACACAACTGTGGGAGGTTGACACCTTCCAGTTCACCATGGGTTGTAATCTAAAACAAACAAGAGGAAAACAGAACAAATTCAAAGATAAAAAGAAAAAAATAAAAACTATGACCTTTCCAGTTTTGTTACTAAGAAATATTACAGTGGTTACCAATTCTGACTGGTTTCTGGAGTCATTTCTCCATCTCAGTTTTCCTTCCTATAAAAGAGGTTTTCTTCATTTAAAAAAAAGGAAAGGCTGTAATTAAAAATGAAATAAATTTAAATTAGAAATGATGAGAAGCCCAGCTTTCCTTTGCTGAATCTGAATAGTTTTGTTTGTTTGTTTTTGCCTCAATCCCACACAATGCCTCAAAATCAAACTCTCAAGCATCCACCCAGTCAAAGGCAACAAGTACCCAAGGCCGGCGTTGCTCTCAGATGCACTTGAGGCACTGCTTTAAGATGTTGGCCACCCCCAGAATGCCCCTTTCTCTGCTCGGGTTTCCCGGCACCCTCTCTGTAAGGCAGCCAGAGTTTTAATTAGCAGCTGGCCCAGCTGATTCAGAAGCTTTGCCACACAGTCATTGTTTTTGGTTCTTCTTGTAATGCTTGCATCTTCGTAGCACCACATGGCCCCCAGGTGAAAGCAACATGAAAATACCTTAAGAAGGTGAGGTCATTTGAGATGAAGTCTCCAAATCTAGGATCTTAGAATTTCACAGCTAGGGTCACCAGATAAAACACATAGTACCCAGCGACATTCAAATTTTAGATAAATAAGAAATAATTTTAATATGAATGTGCAGTCCATGCGATATTAGTACATACTTAAACTAGAAATTTTTTTCTTTGCCAATCTGAAATCCAAACATAATGAAGCATTTTATATGCTCATTTTATTTGAAATCTGGCAACTCTATTCATGAGATTGCCTCTGAAAACGTGGGTAGAGTTTTTGGAGCCTGTGGTATAATGTAAACAAAGAATATTAAACTGGCTAATGTTGGCCTTACACCACTGGATAGATGCCTTGGGGAAGTAAGGAAGGGCCAGGGGTGGGCAGAGAATGGAAGGGACAAATGGTGCTTAGACTGGGACTCTATAGCCAGCAAGGAAGGAAGGAAGGAAGGGAGGGAGGTATGGAAACAGGACAGGGCTGGGTTGTGTGTGGGTAGCCCTGTTTGGTCGCTTTCTTGTATTTTTAGTTAGTTAACAAGTTAGTTAGTTAGTTAGTTCATCAATATCTATTTTGTTCCAGGCACTATTTCTGAGGAGAGCTGGGGATGTAACAATGACCAAGACCCTCTTTCCCTCAATGGACTCAAAGGCTAACATGGGAGACAATCAATAAACCGTGGCACAGATACTTCAAAGTTATATTATGCCACTATAAATATATTTCAGTCATATCCTTGTCATGTTTTTAAGGGTCTATGGGTGTCTTCCTGTGTGAAGAGAAGAGAATTAGCCATTTGTCAGCAAAACTGAGCAGTGTAGATGAGCTCTTGACCTTTCTCATATCATTGGCTCCCCACCATGCAGCCTTTTGGAGCATTTTTCCACTGATCACTCTTCTCCTGGTGAATTTTTAATGCAAGACATACATCGTGTGTATGTTATGACATACAACCCTTTGGAGGGGCATGGACCGTGTTAATATCTAGTTTCTACATCACCCCACCCAGAACAAGGGCTATGACCCAATTCATCGCACCTTGGGGATGATGTGGTGGTGACCATTCCACCCCATGATGGGTGGAACAGCCTTGTGAGGGCAGGGCCTAGTTGGTAGCAGTGTAGTACGGAGTTGCTGTTGGTGCTTGGGTTTGGGGACCAAGCTCCCTGGATTCGGCTGTCAGCCCTCGCCCCTTAGTAGTGTGGCCATGGGCAGGGTACTTGCCCACTGAACCCTTACACTTCCTGTCTCTAAGATGGGTGTAACGATTGGCTCCTTCCTCAGAGGACTATTGGAGCAGTCAAGTACTTAGAATAGTGCCTGGCACCAGTGCCTTTTGTTGGAAAACCCATGTTCAAAGTTGGAAATTTTGTCTTGAAGGAGCGAGAATGGCCCAAGGGGACCCTCAAGAGTAGAGGTTGCGTGGTGAAACCCTGAACAATGAGCTGTCCCAGAGAAATTCTAGAGCTCTGGAGAACTATTTTTTCTTGGTGGTGGTGGCCGCCATATGAGTCTGGGTGAGCAGCCTTGACCTGGATGAATCTACAGCCTGGAAAGTAGGAAAGCAGCAGGAGTTAGATCACGATGTGGTTGAATCTTTGCATTATTCGGGGCCTCGGCTGGGCTGATGTCTGGCTGAAGCCGGCCACAGCCCTTTCTTACAGATGAGATGGGGTCGGCCCCGACCTGCCGGGCTCAGAGCAGTCTCAAATGGACCTTGAGCAGATGGGAATTCTCCCAGCAGAGCAGAAGCGGTGGGGGCTGGGTAGGTAGCCAGGCTGGACCCCTCCTCCCGGTCCACTTGTCATGTGTCTCCTTGACAGGGGGCCTCTCAGAGCAGCCCGGGGCCCAGTCGCCCGCCTGTCCTTCCTCAATTTCCAGTCACCTTCAGATCAAAGCAGCCATGATTTTCTCAGGCAGGTCTTCACTGTGCCAAGCATGGGTCTAATTCTCTGCTTTAGGTTTGGGGGGTGGGGGTGGGGGTTGCATTTTGGCAACAACAAATCAGCTCCTCCCTCCATAGCACTTACCACAATGGAAATGTTGGTGTTTCCTTCAGAATTCGTTTAGTATCTTTCTGTCCGTGAGGACATATACCCAGTGTACCTCATGGCTTGTAGCAGGCACTCAATGTATTTTAATGGATAAATAATACTCTGTTACATTTTCTGAAAAGGAAAGCAATCTACTTCTTAGATGGGAAAGTAGCTCCCGTTAATCAGTCCCCTTTAACCTCGCTACAGTGTGGGGCTCAAATAGTACCAGCTGCCCCAGACCATTGGAAGAATTCTTAATGCAGAGCTTTGTGGGTTCAGCACTTTTGACTTTACTGTCTCTAAATGCAGGGGTTACTTTTAAGTTCCAACATTATCCAATTTTGCACACTTCTCAAAGGAAATCGGATTATTCCAGTGCCAACTAGTTCTCCACTTCAGGTCCTTATCCTGATTTGATCTTAGAAACTGCTGAATAAACAGTGGAAATCCCAGGCAGAGAAGTTGTATCTTATGATAAGGAAATTCCTGTTATCACAAGCACACTTCAGAGAGTGGGAAGGGGACCAGAGGTCCAGATGCCCGGCCTGGTTGTGCCCCTTATTTAGCATTTGGCAACTGATGGGCTTTGGTTTCCTTATCTGAAACTTAAATCATCGGCCCCGAGGGCTGCTGAGACTCTTTCCAGCCCCCAAAATTACTGTGAAACTTCCTGAATTTCTCCACAGCCCATTTTCACTGCCAGCTACTTTTTCTTTCAGTCACAAAATGTAGTCTGAGATGTGACGGGAAATTTAAAAGGGTTTGAGGTACAAGTCCCCAAAGAAAAATCATAAAGACGGTTAGAACGCGCGGAGAGCTCGGATGAACCCGGTGTTAAAAACTGGAAAAGCAGCATCCACACGTGTTGGCACAGATGTGCCTATAATCCTTTATCCAAAGACTGGGGAAGGTAAAGCCTAAGAATCAGCCCCTCAGTGAAAAAGCAGGAAATCTGAGAACTGGACTTGAGCACGGCCACTTGTGGAGAGAGAGACAGACAGGGAGTTTGGGAGGGAGATGGACAAAGGGGGAAAAGATGAAGAGAAAGAAAACGGGGAAAGAGAAGGAGAGGGGAGAGCGGAGGAGAAAGAAAGAGGAGAGAGGGCGTGGGAGGGCACGAGGGCCTTTGAAGGCGTTTTCCCTGTGGAGTGAGTGACGGAGCTTCATCTCAAAGTGAGAAGAGGAACTGCAGATCCGTCCGTCCCAGGCCCTGCTGCTGACTTCCGGTCGCTCTATCTCCCACTCACCGCACACTGACTTCCTACATAGCCTAGGTCAGTGATCGCCAAAGCAGAGTAAGAGAGAAACTTCAGAACCTCTTTCGTAATTATACCTGTCTTACACCATCCCTCATTTCCATTGTGTATCAGTAAAACTGTGTTTATAAGAGATGCGTAAACAAACAAACAAACTTGCACGGGTTTGGGGAGTGCGTTCAAAACGCTTTCCCTGAGGGGAGCCCCTGGCGAGGGCTGAGCTCTAACAGCAGAGCCCTCTTATCTTGCCGCCTCCTCAGAGTTCCTCACATGAGCATCATTAATAACGCTCCCCACCTGCCTTGCATGCGCAAGGTCCCGAGTTCAATCCCGGTACCAAAAACAATAATAATAATAATTAATAATAATAACGTTCCCCTGCTTTTCTCCAGAAGGAAAATGTCTTGACCATTTCCCAAGATTTTAATGCAAACCCACATTCAAAATAGAAATTTAGAAAATACAGAAAATTATAAAGAACGCAATTAACAATGCATAACCACAGCCCATGTTCCTAAAAAAAAAGAGCTCTTTTGCTTTTCAAACTGTGAATCCTATAGTTTTTCACTTTGGTTTTCTTTTAAACTCTGTAGGGTGCTGAGAAGTCACCCAGCACTGCGGGCAACCTCAAGTCAGACAAAGCCAGCTCTACTCCCCAGGACACCCCAGGGGGAACCCAGAGCCCCAAAGGCAGCCAGGCAGGTCAGGCAGCTCCAACAGCCACTGGGGCAGCAAAGGACAGCGGCAAGAAGACGGGACCCACCTCTCTGCCCCTGGGCAAACTCTTTTGGAAAAAGGTGAGTTTTGGGATTTGCAGAGTTCTTGGAGCTGTAATGACTTGAGCAGTTGTCTCTATTGAACCAGTTGTTGTACTCAGCAACGTACAGTGGGTTTTTTCCCTCTTTCTTCTCAAAAATGATTCAGCTGTCACTGAGTTGAGGATTTCTAATGCACAGCTGGGAAGCATGAAGTGCCTATCATGCTACAAACTGGTGTTCTGTAGGGAAGAAAAGGAGGTGAACAAGTACAATGACTTTGTTCACGACAAAAGGTTGTAATATTTCGTGGATCCATCATCCTCTAAAACGGGTGGCGAAACTATGGTACGCGTGCCACAGTGAGCATGTAGATCACTTTCTGTTGGCACATGAGTCAAGTGTGCAAGTTGTTTTTGTTTTTCTAAAATAAAACCTCACTATTCAGAATTAATTGCAGCGTTGGCATTTTACAATACATAAGTGGGTTTGAGGTTGCAGTTTGGGCACTTGGTCTCTAAAAGCTTCGCCATCTCTAGTCTAAAATGAAAATGACCCCGGCCTCTTTCTGTCTCACTAAGCACTCTGGACCTAGCGACATGGACCACCTTAGGGTGCTGTGCCTTCATGGCTTCCCAGCCAGAAGCAGCGACCGTGAGCCATCGATTCTCACTTCCCTTTTAGAAAACCAGGATGACCAGCAGGCCACCAGCAGGGCAGGTGCAGACTGCACTGTGTCTGTGACAGGAGAAGTCCAACCTTGGTCTGATTCTTCCCCTCTCAAAGGTGTGTGCAGGGGGCATGGGCTCCCCAAAGAGGCGGATGGGTGGGCAGAGGTTCTGAGGACCACTCCTTGGTCAGCCGTGCACACCCAGCCACCATGCCTGCAACAAACTCTTGTCTGGGTTAACTTTGGCCTGAAGAAGACAAGCAAGAAACTGGTAAGAAGGAGTGGAAATTCAAAGCTGGAAAAATCTGTGTAATTTCTTCACAACATCTGTGCCACTTGGCACACCATGAAAAGCAGATGACAAATCCAGATGTCACTGAGATGTCAGCTTTATCCTCGAGTCCAGAATCCAGCTGGATTTCTGAGATCCTTCCTGGTTTATTTCCAGTTGTACAGAAACCTTTTTTCTAGGTTCTTGACAGAACAAAAGCCTCAATTTTCCATGACGACTTTGAAGGATGTCAGTTGACATTCTGTTCTAATCCTTCTCTCTCTCAAATCTCCATTCCTTATTTTTAAAAAGTCTTTTACCAGGACTATAATGTAGGGAACAATTTTCAAGTGAGAGCCAAGTATAGTGTCTCATGCATGAAATCCCAGCGCTCTGAGAGACTGAGGCAGGGATTGAAAGTTCAAGCTCAGCCTAGGCAACGCAGTGACATAGTGAGACCCTATCTCGATATAAAAAATAAAAAGGGCTCAGTAGTTAGCTCAGTGCACATGCCCTGGGTTCAAACCTGAGTACCAAAAAAAGAAAAAGTCCAACTGAATTATATGCATCTATCAGTGGCAAGGGAGATAACCTGAGTGACCCACATTTAAACATTTTATTTAAACATTCATATCTGTGAAGCTATGATAGTTATGTATCATATACACAAATGCATAGGCAGAGTTATATGTATATTCAAATATATCAGGAAAAATAGAAGTAGCACATCAGACTTGAGATTTAACATGCATTTTGGTCCAATGAGACCACACACACTTACTTTAAAAAGAAATCAAATTGAAAGACAAATGTTACATAATGATACTGACCATCCTGGTAAATCCAGGTCCTCCAAGCAACACACACCAAGACAGAAGTGTCGTGCCAGAGGTTTCATGGAAGGGATGCCTGTGAAGGATAAAAGGAGGGGGCAGTCGGAGGTAGTGTTGAGGGGCAACCGCCTGGAGAGGGAGGGTGGGATGGACCAACGGATGGATGGACAAGGAAAAGGGTCAGGCACGGGCTGGAGCAGAGAAGGTCACAGCCAAGACTGCCAGTGCTAGGAGCCCCCAGGCTGGACAGGAATGAAGGGCCCAGCGCCCCGCCATGCTTGGTCGCTGACAGGGGCTGATAGCCAGACAGGCGGCCCTGTCCTTCCCCACAAGTGAGTGAGCAGCCCCAGTGGCTGCGAGAGGTGACGGAGGCACGAAGGCAGGCACCACCTGAGCTGTGGACAGAGGCCTGGAATTTGAAGAGAACGGAAGGCAGAGTTACATTTAGAGTCAGATCTGACTTCGAGTTGCAGTTCGCCTCTGAAAGGCTCACTTTCCGCATCGGTCAAAAGCAAGTAGCAGCAGAACCCAAGTCACAGAAATGAAGTGAGAGTTAAATGAAGCCCCTAACGCTACCCCTGGCCCAAAAGGACCGGAGGAGGCCGCTGTACCCGTGTCACTTATCTCCTGCATGTTCAGGAGGGTTGAGAAACGAAGCGTGTAGCTGCTTTGTCTTCCTGTGCTCCCGGGTTCGGGACAATGACTAAGCCTCTCCTGCCAGTTCCTCCTTCCATAGGCACAGACTCCAGGCCGTTCGTTCCCCTGGGCGGAACTTCACTCATTCAGACCCGCTGTCTTCCACATCATTATTTACCTTTACATCTTTGATGGAGTCTTTAAAATAATGAACTTAAGAGAAATCACAGTCAAATCGCTGCTACCACGTGTGCCCCTCTTGCACCCACGCTGAAGGAAAAATCCTACATCGAAGTAAAAAAGGAAACTTTCACTTAGTCAACAATATTTTAATCACCTTCATCACGCTGAGGTTTGTGCTTAAGTGCTCGGCCCTGAAAACATTGCAGGGAACCAATTCCTGCCTTTTTTGGGGCCTCTGTTCAGGTGGGAGAACACATATCCTAGGAGGAAATGAAATCAGAACCTTTGTTTCCTTTTCTTCAAATTACAAATGCTGTGGTGATAAAATCGGCCTCGTACACATTTTTTAAAACACGAAGGCAAACATCAGGGAATCCTTATATCTTTCTCAATAACCTTTCTTCTCTCTCTTTTTGTTGAGTAACTCTAAAACAAATTGATTCTAAACTTTGTAAGGCTGCAGTTTAAACCACAGAAATGGATTTTGTCCCTGGAATGAGCTGTGCTGTAGTAGTACTAGTTATTTTGATTTAGAGTCTGGATCGCTGAGGAACATCTTATCATACTATAAAAACAAAGCAACAGTTGAAGAAATTGCTTGCAAATTATATTGCACCTTTAAAAGAAAAAAAATGTTTAAAATCCAGTTATCTGGATTGTTGTAGTCCGACCAGGTTGCTACTGACCCGGTGACCATGTAAATGCTTTACCGTGTTGGGTGTCTCGTGTTTTCCTCATCTGTCTTTGGAGTGGGTTAGAACAGACAATGTTGATGACTCTCATATGCGGCCAGTCTTGCCTAACAGATCAGACACATTGGACTTTGCAGTCCTGAGCCCGTCACCGGCCCATTCTGAACCCCCATGATCATAGCTGTAAGATAAGGACTGCGTCCATGTCACCGTGCTTCGGGAGAAACTGAGAATTGCGCAGACGTAGTACGTGTCTGACAGCATCACCGTCTTTCTTCAAACACGAACAGAGTGTGGGTGTGATCAGACATCTACGTGTGGTTTCTGGTGCCATCACCCACCGCCCTGGGAGGAACTGGATCTATACACGTGTATGTGTGTGTAATTCCCCGGTGACAAGTTGGGAACAGCTTTGAAATCACCCTCTTCCTGCTCTCCTTTCGGGAGGACACACACTGGTGGGGAGCAACGGTGTGATCTCTGACAGCAGCCAGAAAACCACTGGCTGCCTGGATTTAACAGAGACTCCACTTCCTCTGCAGTAAAGCCAGCCAACGGCATCTGTCACTTACCGGTACTGGGAGGATTGAGTAAGAAAAAAATTCAGTGAGCCGTGTCTCTAGTCAAAAACAGTGCGATCCAGTGCGAATCACCAGCTACACATTATAAATGCTGTGGAGATTGAAAAGGCAGCAATCAGTGTTGGTCAAAATAGACTTAGAGAACTTACGTATTACTGTGGCTCACATCATCTGGGCTATTTGTTTCAAATACAGATTTTTACACCTTCCCATAGGGATCATGGTCATAAAAACCTGGGTTTGTGATGAGATAATTACGAAAACACCTGAGAGACAAGATGAAAATTCTTGGCTTCAAACCTTGCAGCACACCCTTGTAATTCCAGCCCTCTGGGAGGCTGAGGCAGGAAGATCTCAATGTAGAGCTCAGCTTGGGCCACTTAGTGAGACCTTGTCTCAGAATAAAAAATTAAAACCAGCTGAGGATGTAGCTCAGTGCAAAGGCCCTGGGTACAATCCTCAATACTGGAAGGCCAGAGGGCGGGGGGTGATTCTTCAATTCATAGAGAAGGCGTGCGTGGGCCCATGAAGTCAGTGAGCTCAGACCAGTTGCCAGATCAGATGACGCTGTGGAAGACATGCCACCAAACATATTTCAAAGAACCTTCTTTTAAGAATTGATTGCACTCTCTAAAGCCAAGAAGCCCTTGTTAGCCAAGTCTATGGTGACTTTAGATGTTGTTTAGCTCTTTATTTTTAACAACATTCATGTCTAAAGTCCAGTAGATATTTAAACTGGAAAATGTATTGATGTTGTTAAAGGGGCTGGGCTATTTTTAGATTCACCAGCTATCCCATTCCTTGAAGAAGACTGGAAGTGGTACCTGACCTTTCTGAAGGATCTAAAAAATGTGCTTCAGTCCCCAGAGTTTGAGCCTCACCTTCCCAGCATTCCATGCACTCACTTCCTCCGTTTGCACCACTTCCGGGTTTCTCCAGTCTACAGCTCCCTGCTGAGCACAGTCCCGGATGGCCGGCCCCCCGCCATGGAGGTTTATCCACCACAGCGTACTCCTGGGCAGTGCAGAACGATGGCCTGGAATCTGGTTCTCCTGGTTCTGCTGCCCATGGGCTTTCTCTAAATACTACACGGGACGAGGAAAAGGAAGTCACCTGAGGCCTTCATTTGTCCTTGTGCATTGAGCATGGAAACCATGCAGGGAACAAACACGGACA